CTTTGAATCATTCAGGCCAACTGATCATTTCCAACAAGCCATCTCAATTTCCTTAGCAATCGATGAGTACAAGCCCCTGGATGCCACCACAAACCCATCTCTGATACTGGCTGCTGCTCAGATGCCTGCATACCAGAAACTTGTGGATGATGCGGTTGCATATGGAAAAAAACTTGGGGGGTAAGTCAAGAGTTGAGGTTTTTGTTTGTTTTTTAAATATACACCTACTGAGAAGAAGTTAAGACACTTTATTAAGTAAGTAAGCAAGCAAGTAGTGTTTTGTAATCCTAGCAACACAGTGGGTTTTCCGCTCGTCTGCTTGTATACCTTTCTCCAGAGGCAGAACACAACCACTTCTGCTCTGCTCAATGCACATTTGAGCACAGGAATTTAATGCTAAATGGGCTGTGAAATTTGATCTTTAAATCAATGGCAAGGCTTGAATGCACTTTTTTTTTTTCCTCCCATGGTTTTTAGGTCAGAAGATGAGCAAATCCAAAATGCTTGTGACAAACTTTTTGTATTGTTTGGAGCTGAAATATTGAAGAGGATACCTGGCCGTGTGTCCACAGAAGTAGATGCAAGGTTGGCTCCTTTTCCTCTGGGTTACCCTAGATCTTGGTGCATACAAAGAGAGACGCAATAGAGTTGAAGAAATCCATTCTTGTCTGGACAGCTCAATGTTACAAGGCTAGCAGGGGTTTGTACTGTTAATATTTAAGAGAATGAAGTGCAGTTCATTTACTTGTTTTAACTTGGTAACACATATCTGATCTTTGTTGTATTCATACTGTTCCTTAAACAAGGGAAATCTCGTGCTTCCAGTACATGTCCCTGGAGGTGTTCAAGGCTAGGCTGTGTGGTGCCCTGGGCAGCCTGGTCTAATATGAAGTGGAGATTGGTGGCCCTGCATGTGACAAGGGGCTGGAACTTGATGATCCTTGGGGTCCCTTCCAACCCAAGCCGTTCTATGATACGTAGAGCTTTGTTCGTTCTCTTCTGTGTGACGTTGCTCTCAATTTCCAAGAGACCAGTTCAAGCAGTTTATTTAGAAGTAGGATTTGCCTGCTCCTTTTCAAGTCACCTTTAATGCTCAGTTTCTACATTCGTTCTGGAAAACTTTTCTCAAAGTTTTAGTCCATAGCTTTCTTATGGAAAGTAACACTGAGCTCTGAATTCTCTGAATCAAACACCAGCAGTGTTGTCACAGTGCTCCTTGTCAGGCTTATGTTCAAGGAAGCATCTCCAAGAAAAAACCCTGCTATTAGAACATAAATTGTGACAAAACAGGACAATTGTTCTGGATGTTACTTCTTTTGGAGAGGGCTATTAAAAAGTAAAAAAAAGCACAGCTTTGAAGAAGCCTTGTTCTTGTTCCGAAGGTTGTCTTTTGATAAAGAAGGAATGATTCAGAGGGCCAGGCGTCTGATTGACCTTTATAAGGAAGCAGGAATTGGTAAAGATCGGATTCTCATAAAGCTTTCTTCAACATGGGAAGGAATTCAGGCTGGCAAGTAAGTACTTCTATACCTAGTGTGCTGATTCATAGCATGCTTCTGGCTATTCACAAGCACTTGACAAACATGTTCTACACTTAAAATAAAGAGCTGTTTTGAAAGCACAGCACCAGGAAGCCTGTTGCTAGGTGTGCAGTAAGCATAGTGGCATACTGGAGCTCATGCACTTGGTTCGATGAAAAACGTTCAGTAGATCACTGGGAGCCTGGCAGTGTAGAACTTTGTTCTGCTACCTTTGAGCTTTAAAGCATGTAAGCTGTACCATATCTCTAATGTAAGTTGAGGAATCGGTAGGTTAACCTATTAACTTACTGCTAGAATGTACAGCAGGTGAGCAAACTGCCATTTAAAGCCAGCCTATGTCTGCAGGGTTCTGGAAGCAGAGTACGGGATTCATTGCAACATGACCTTGCTGTTCTCCTTTGCTCAGGCAGTCGCCTGTGCTGAAGCTGGGGTTACTCTGATCTCCCCATTTGTAGGACGCATCCTGGATTGGCATCTTGCTAATGGAGATAAGAAAACCTATGAACCTTCGGAAGATCCAGGTTAGCTTTTCTTGTTTTTGAATGCAATAGCTATATGTTCAAGTTTTAATTAACTTTAAAAATCCTCTTGTGAAACAAATGGTTTCTATCTGTATGTTATAGATAACCGATTTACAGAATCAAACTCTGTAACCCAGATTTAGGCTATAAAGCAGGCATGTTTTATTCAGCATCTGGCGCCAAGCTGGGTGCAGGGGGACCCTCCTCCGAACTCGCATCCGTAGGACAAAAGCTTGGTACAGATGTAGGCCAAACAAATACATAATCCGTGTTTTCTGTGGAATTCATATGCATATGGTTTCATTTCTGAGAACCCACCAGCATACCCTGACTCCCTCTTGCACGTGGGCAGTGGGGCTCTTCTGGTGGTCATGGGATGAAGGCTCATTGTCTTCAACTGAAGGAGTCTGTCTGACCTGTTCCTTGTCCTCTTTACTCGCGTTCCTATGCAGTTGTTAACCCTTACTTACTGCACATCCTGCTTGCTATGTTCTTTTGTTTTGTCTTCCTTTACAGCTGGCCCGCATTTACCCTTCACCCCCTAACTCATAACCACTTACAATTCAATTGAAGCCTTCTGAAAGTCACCCATTTCTCCTCTTTAGGAGTGAAGAGTGTCACTAAGATCTATAATTACTACAAAAAGTTTGGCTACAAAACCATTGTGATGGGTGCTTCATTTCGAAATACAGGAGAAATCAAAGCGCTCACAGGCTGTGACTATCTCACTATTTCACCCAAGCTTTTGGCAGAGCTCAGCAAAGAGCATGTGAAGCTAACTCCCACACTCAGTGTTAAGGAGGGTAAGTCCAGTTCTCTGTAATACAGACTTGCTCAGACTGCTTTTCTTCTTGAACATTAAGAGTACATGGTTCCATCCAGCTCTGCGGTGCTTCCGTTCTGCTTTAAGGCTAAACCTTGTCCCTTCTCTGAAGGAAATGATCATGGTGCAGTTGTACCATTACAACTGCTTATACAGGGTTATTTCCTAAGGGTTTCAGTTCCCACTGAGGACATTAACTGGAACTGGGTTTTGAGCATGTTTAAATACTTTGTCTCTTCCCCTGAAAACAGGGAGAAGGAACATGGGATGAAGTTTTACTGATTGTTAGGAGAGATCCAAGCAGAGTTTAATCATTATGCTAATAGTGCTGTTAGCTCAGACTTGCTAAAAGACATTTTCCTTTCTCCAATATTAGAGATGAAGCCACACTCAAGACTTATTTAATCTTGATGGTTTGGAGTGCATGTTCTCATTGCATTATTCTTGTGCTTCTGTAGCTTTATGAAAATGCTGCTTCTCAGCTCAGATGCTGGATTTGTTGCAGCTGTAGTTGGTACTCACAGGGCACTAGCTGGCTTGTAGGCATAGATCAATTGAGCTTTGTTAGGAACTTGCCAAAGGATCAAAGATCTATTGTTCAGCTTGTTTGCTTAGAACATCACTGCAGTGTTCTTGGTAGTATTGCTGAAAGTACCAGACCAATTAGAAACAGTACAAGATAAGGCACACCCCTGAGAACTGTATTTTGAAGGAAACCGAAGATCTAGATAACCTTCTTCAGAATGCAGGTGAGCATTTTGAGTCTGGCATCCCAAAGCATGCCCACAGAGCAAGTCTCGCTGAAAATGGTGTTAGAAACTTCTCAGCTTTTCATTTGGAGATGGCCACAAACTTGAGACTGGTTTTAGGTAGCCCATGGTACCTGATAACAATCTGATAATAGGGTTTGGTTTATTTTTCAATTGCCCTGGTGCAGCTCAGGCCTGTGACCTTGAGAAGATCCACCTCGACGAGAAGGCATTCCGCTGGCACCACAATGAAGACCAAATGGCTGTGGAGAAACTGTCTGATGGGATCAGAAAATTTGCTGCAGATGCAATAAAATTAGAGAAGATGTTAAAGGTAGATGCTATACAGGGCTGTCTCTTTCCACCTTCTGTGTTTCTTTAAATACTGCAGCTAACCGTCACTTGCTTTTGGTACAGGATTAGGAACCTGTCAGCAAGTTGGATCAGGTCTTGTACAGATGGTGCATGTTATGTAGGACAGGCTGCCAGCAAACTGGCCACCTGAATGGAATGAACTTGATAAACTCCAGTGCATTTTATGAAGGAATTCATGACAGGTATAGACAGACAGCTGGTTTTTGAGGCCCAAGGCAGTGTTTAGACTCACAGCTAATCAAGATAGTGCTCCTATCTTAAATGAAAAGCCTCAAAGTGAAAAGTCTCATTCTAGACTTGTTAACTGTCAGCAGTGATTTGAGACACACCAATAATGTTCAAAAAGCTGGAAGTAAGCCACACTTGTATTCTGTGTAGGAGGCTCCAAGAACAGATGCTGAGCATAGCCAAGCCCTGTAAAAGTTTTCTACCAGTATAGGGCAAGTCTTCTAGAGGGAATTAAGTGAATTTTATGGTTTTTTGGGGGGGGGGAAAAATAAATACGCTAATCACGAGGTCTCAGCACTCGTAGTCTGACATCTACTTAGCAGGGACACAACTTGCATTACTGAAGCAAAATTCAGTTCCCAAACTGGCACTGATTTGTTCACTTCTCTCTTTTTAGGAGCGAATGTTCAGCGCTGAGAATGGGAAGTAAAAGAGTCAGAGTTCTCCTGACTGCTTAAGGCTGAATGAGCGGATCACCTGAAATTAAATGGATGTACAAATGTCTTACCTGTAAAAGTCTTCTGTTGTGTGTGCATAGATTTCTGTATTATGCTTTTTTAAAAAAACAATTTGTAAAGGGACAAAGCTTCATTGTTTTTGTGGCACTTTGATAATATATGCAAATTAACACCTACTTTCCTTGTAATGCATTTACTTCCTTGCTAAAAGGAATGGAGCAATTCAGCTGACATAACAGTTCAATTTCTACTAGAAGATAGTATTGTGGTCTGTAGTAAATTCCTAATTGTCTGTGCTCCTCACATGTTAAGAAAGCAGTTGTCTCTCATGCTGTCTTACTATGACTCGAAAAAAAAACAAAGCAGTTTTCAGAAACCAACTGTGGTACAGAAACCACAAGTACTGGGCTCTTGTCCTTTGTTGCCCTTTTTTTTTGCAGCCAAGCAGTAGCAGCAGCAACTCACTGAGTGGTAGAATTCATTGCTGCATTGAAGTAGAGCGTGGTACTGTTGTTACAACACCAGCCTGAGTTACACTACTTCAAAATTAGGTAACCAAGTCAAGCACCTTTGTAACTGTTTAATCTGAGCTGACAGTATGGAAATCTAGATACAGCTCAGGATTGTTGGTTGTAACTTTGTATCTTGACTTTAGGCAAGTTACTGCATCTCTTTCTCCTAGCCTTGGAATGCTGCCAACCCTACCACAAAATTTAAACAAGAAAAGCCCTCTGTTATCACTCCTCCTTTATGGACAAAGAGGAAACTTTTTGTCCATAAGCTTCTTTCTTTGTGAAAGAATAAGAGCTGTGTGGTAGTCCTCTCTGAGGAACGATGACCTAATCCTAAATGCATCACTTTCCAGTTACAGGGCTCTCAATTAAGCAGGGGTGCATCTGATTACATTTCATGGTGTACTTTGTTAAGACTAATTAAATACCTTCTTGGCTTATGTGGGTCCTGTTCCATCAAGAGCAGATTAGATGTCCCTGTTTGTATGCAGACACTATTTAACTACTTCCTCATGAACGAGCCTGAACTTTTAGACTTAACAACAATAAGACTACAGTGTTTACATACAAGCTACGTCCTGATTGAACACAAGAAAAACATGCCAAGAGAGCGACTGATCAGTTGGACCCATTGGTAGTACTGTCAGAACAGCAAACTGAGAGCTGTTGTTTCAGCCAAAGTGACAGACGCTGTACGCTCACAAGCCAGATGCAGATCTGCTAGGAGAGCTGAAGCAGTCACACCTGCACAGTGCTGGCAGGCTCCAATAAAATCGCTCCTTTACTAACAGAACAGATTATAGGATAATATGGGAATCCTCAACATAAGAAATATTTCTGCACATCAACAAGCCCGCTTAATCTAGCGAATATCAGAAGCGACAGCACAGGTGTAGAGCTGGAGTGTCCCCACGATCTGGGGCTGTGGAAGTGCACAGACAGAACGCTGTGTAGAGAAGCCTGTGCAGTTGCCTCTGTACGTTCACTGGCAGGTGATAACCTCTGTACAGGCTATTAGCTCACCTAGATGGCAGGACGAGGTTCAGCCTGCCACAGCTTGTTTTGTTGTATATCAAGGCAAGATGTCCTAATGCCTTACTTCTTAGCAAAAGAATTAGCAGGTGTTTTAGGGCACCACTGCAGGCTTACAGGTGGAAAGGTTCAGACATGACTATACAGCAGAGATAGCACTGATCCTGACTGGTCAGTCCTTGTAACCAGCTCAGGTGAAACAGAGCAGGTATTTCTGCATTTACCAGCCCATTGGTATAAAAAAGAATATTTTTGCTGATTTAGCAGAAACATTCTCTGGAGATTCATAATTATTTGACATATATACAGATACGTGCCAAATATACAACTCCAAGGCAATGCAGTGCTATCAGATAGCCCTGAGGCATCAACGTGTAATTTCTGCAGAACATGAAAGGCTACAAGCCAGTTTCTTGAAACAGTTCAGCCATATATCTGCAACTAATGCGCACAGTGATTTTTCTGCATCTGACCTTGGTTTTAGTTGCAAAACCAACTTTTGGCAGAGGGTCAGATCAAACTTTGATATGGAAGGTTCTCGCACAATCAAAACCAATCCATTTGATCTCAACCAAGACAGACTTCTAGGAACATCACCTAGTAGTTACAGCTCAAACAGACGGTGGCTATTGAGGGATTAATCTGCTTCAAAACTCCTTTGCAATCCAGATCCCTCCTTCCCCCTTAGTTTTCAGAGTACCTGTTTTCTTGTATTAGATTTTCTTGGGCATACCTGCTCTGCTAGCTGGTGGTCTCTGCCAAAATAAGGCAAGTGGCATCAGTTTAAACTCCCTATGAGCCTGTGTATGGCCCTTCAGAAACAGAAATATTAGTGGTGTCTGAAGATCTAGCAAGGAAGTCCCATGCTTGTGAAGATGCTGTTCTTTCAAATGAACTAGGAATTAGAAAACAATCAGAGAAATCTAAGATTGTCCTTTGAAATGTACTCAGTAGGGGGACTGATGCTGGCCTTTCACACTGCCTGAAAACTGCTTCCTCTTCCTCCACTCCCAGCCCCTGTTATCAACAGGTCCGCATCTCCCACAACCAAAGTACAGGCCAGCTTTTACAATCCCTCATTTATAATTTGACACTGCAAGCCAGCCAAACCACCAGACTTTTGTGAGTTGTGCCCACTGAAGCTCAAATACCTGTGCAAAGAGTGACTCCAAGTCCTCAAGGAGCCCAGAGGTGAGGAAGAGCAATTCTGGTCCTCGAAGTGGTGCCATCAGCATAAGCTCATGTGGCAGACCCCTCCACCCTGCACTTCACTCAGCGATCAAATCATTCCCTCTGGAAGCTGGATCTCCGCAGCCAAACAGCTCAGGAAGTGCCGGAAGCCGGTCTTTGTGGTTAATCCTGCTACCCCTGGGAGTGCTCTCCCTGTGTGCCTCTCATTCCAGAGATCATCTTTTAGCCTGGAGTTCTCCTGAAAAAACAACACAGGGATGAACTCACAAGGGAAGAGAACGCAAGCAAAATCTTAGGACAGGGTACCCATTAGCCTCCTTTCCCAAGGAGCACATCAGGGAGATAACACCTGTTATGGGTTTAGCTTAATGCGACAAATGCCCACCAACAAAAACCAGGCACCTCGAAGGCAGCTCAGTGGATGCATCATCCAGCTGCGAAGCTGTGAACAACAGTTCCTAGTGGGTTTGTATTTCAAGGCAATTTGTCTCCTAAATGAAATAGCATCCTAGGAGTGAGAAAATAATTCATGCACCACTTACAAATATCACGTAATTAAATAGTAACACTAGTAGTTACAAGCTAGAAAACAGAGACGGACAAAGCGTTTTCAGAGCTGTGCCAATTTCTGTAGATCTGTCTGCTTTAGCTTACTTTGAAATTTCCTGTGCTGCAACACATTGAGATCTGTTTACACTAGGAAAATAGAAACTTGAAATGATCAGCATTCCAGGCAGTGAGGTTTAGTAGGTGAGGATCTGGTCCAGCACGAGATGAACAGCTCCACTGGTCCCAGTAAAACACTGGAGCAGCTAGCAAATCCTAATGGTCAGGCTCAGATAGCTAAAAGGTGCTCCAGACCCCTGACAGACACAGCCATGTTTCCCCAGGGATGGACTGTCATCAAGAAATACATGACTGTACAACACACTACTTGGATTTGTCATCTTGGCTTTCACAACAGGTTCCAGCCTTTTGAGGTTTGCATGCTGCTGCAAGAAGCCAGGAGACAGCTGAGAGGAGAGAAGGTGCTTATAGAGGGAGAAAGCTGGGAAAGAAAAGAGCTCTGAACAGCAAAAGCCTCCTCATGGACATGTAGGCTGTACCTCACATCTCCAAACTAGGTCATGGAAAACAGTATGGGCAGAATCAGGAGCAGGAAGGAGAGGCTAACCTCTCCCCAAGCACTTCCACAACCTTCTAGTAAGGCAAGGCCTTCAGCACCGTTGTCCAAGATTTGATTTAAGGCAAGAAAGAGGCTGCTTTTCCTCTGTTGCTTCTGATATAACCCTGAAGCAACTTAAAGCAGAAAACAGCATCTTGACCACTGCTCTCCTCCGCTGCTCTCAGTGGGAATTAACCTTTACGCAAGGAAAGGCTACAGTTTAAAACAGTTTACAGCTGTTCTCAGCAATAGCAGCCCAATAAGTACCAATATTGTGCTGCTCTCCTAAAAGTACCTCTAGAAAGTAGTCTGTCATTGTTTAAAGCAGACAGATAACAAGGCAATATCACTAGCAGACTTCAGATAATTGACTGCAGAAAGTACCTCAAAGTACCTCACCAAGGCACACAGAACATTCCTCCTATATATTCCCTCTCATAGGCTTGAAACTAAATTGAACACTAATTACTAATATACAGCCCCAGGCACTTCCTGGCAGCTGGAGAGAGGATGGCTCAAGCTGCTACCATGAATACTTGTAAACACAGAGCATCACCTCCTGCAAAGAAGCAGATTTAGGGCTGTGATAAGCTGAGACAAGGCGCTGCACTGCATTGAGCAGCTCAACTGTAAGCTGCTGAGCCTCCAGCTCCCACAGAGGGCTGATTTCTCCACCAGGACCACACCTCAAGTTACAGGTAGTCTAGAAATAGAATTTACTGCTTTTAAAAGATTGATTGTGGCAGCTAGGAGGGTTTTACTTTTACAACAGTTGCAGGATATCTACTCCCAGGCTATAATAACGCTGCCCCATTCTTCCTCCCAGGTCAGGCTGTGACTGCATTCAGTGCCCTTTTGAAGCAGGTCTGAGCAGGTCCCAGCTTCAAATTATCCTCACTGCAATTTGAGGTTGCAAATCACCAGTTACCTGCTTTCCTACTTCCCATTTGCTAGAAGGAAGTATTTCTTCCTCCTTCTTTAACAAACCTGAAGTTCCTTCAGACACACAATAAGCATTTACAGATCTCTTGGAAATACCCATAAAGGATTCAGCAGCAGTACAAGCTGTACATTTGATCTCTGCTGAAACACTAAACAATTGACTCATCCTCTCAGCAGCAACAAGAGCACCAGATCAGGACTGGGAAAAAAAAAATCACAATAAGATCAAGCAGCTAAATTTGGCTAGATTCCATTTCCAAACCACAAATACAGTCTTAAAAGCAGTAGAAATTAATCATAAAAATCATAGAGTAGTTTGGGATGGAAGGAGGATTGAAGAGATTTGGGACTGAAGAGGAACATGGCTGCAAGAAATACCTCTTTTTGCCCCTGGATGAGGTGAGTGTCCTGCACCCTCATGCCACCAGCAGAGCTACAAGGTCTGTAAGCTCACTTATCAGGGAAGCACCTGGCCAGAGTCAGTAGCAAGGTTCAATAGGAACTCTGAGGCATTCAGAAAGTTGCTCAAAAGACAGTAAGATCCTGCAGCTACAGAGGGAGACAGGAAAGAGGTGCTCCAGTAACAGCCAAAGCTAACTCCACTTAACTGCAGACATAGTCAAGAACTGAGAGAGCAGGATCCCTTACCTGCACTGATAGCAGCTAGTTTCCCATTTCAGTACTGGGGCTTTTTGTCTTCAGTGCAGGCTGGGTGTTTTGCAGTGACTAATGTACATAGCTGAGCCCCAAAGTCCACATCCATCCTGAAACAGAGCAAGACCCCAGCAACTAAATAAATCTTCAGCCTACGCATCTCTTTAAGAACAAGGCTTCCTTGCAGAACTGTTTTTTCAGCTTCATTCACCTCTCCTACAGTCATGTCTGAAGCCAGTTCATAATCTCCTTCTAGCAACTGCCCTATGCTTCCTCAGTTAAGAGACTGAGCATAAGAGATACCCATAAGAGATACCTACTGTCTCTCAGAAAGGCCTTTAGCTATCACAGTCATAGAGAAAAGCTTAGAAATCCTGAAACATAACCTTCAACATTCAGCCAGAAGGGAGAAATAAAACAGAGGAGAAATTCAAAGAACAAGTATGCAAACTTTAAGGCTTGAGTTAAAAATCATTAAACTCACCTAGAACCAGTGCTTCCCAGGCACCTTTGGCAAGCCTTCCTGCAAGTCTTTCCAAAGCCTTAGGGCAGGGATAGCTCCCTTTATCACTTTAGCCCAGTGACCAGAACCTCCCCACAAGAAGGGCTTCACCTGAGCAACCCCAGCCCCAGAAGTACCAGCACAAACAGCTACAATCAACCTTCTTTTTGCTGGGGGCAAATATCTGCAGTAGACCTCTAGGTGCTCTTGGTTGAAGTGCCAGAGGTAAGATTTAGTCTCTCCTGAGACAGTCAGGGAGAGAGACCCCACGCTCTGACAAAGCAGGAATTTCTCTGGGTTGAGGCGAGTGGGGAATGGCACAGTAACCATGCTCATATTGCAGAGGCTACCTTGGGACAAATCCATGTCTGCATTTATAGACACTCCTGCAACTGCAGAGAGAATGCAGCTGTGCCCAAGACTTTGCTGGCATACCAGCCTGGAAAAGATTGCTCTTTCTATGCTTCAGTGCTCTTTCTATGCTTCAGTCCCAAACTCCAACAGTGCTGCATCTCCCTACACACGTGGGCCTGATCCATTCCATGGGATCCTGTAAGCTTCTGTGCATAGAGATCCTGAGTCACTGAGTACTGCTGCAAGAGAAAAGCACGTTAGAGTAATAGAGTCTCCAACAAAAGATACCACTCAGGGCTAAGTAAGGATCTAAATCGACATTTTAAGCTTTTATTTTCACTGTAGTTCTCAAGCAGGGAATTAAGTGGTAGAAAAAAAAAAAAAAAAAAAAAGCTACCCCTTCAGAAAAAAAGCACTTTTTGTTTAACAGACTGCCCAGGCAGCTTAGCTTAGAAGCACAGAATATAAGTGGGCAAGCAAATAATTTCTGCTTTGTTCACATAACTGAAAAAATAACCATGCTAAAACGATGACAAGTTTGAGGCTTACAATAAGCAGCCTGAGTGAAATTAAAAAGCAAAAAATACCTTTTATTTGGGGTCAAACAAAACATTTTATCTCACAGCTTTTGCTGCAGCCTTTGAATTTATGTATTAGGTACTGGGAAAAAAAAAAAATAATTTCAGTGATTTTGTATCTTGTCTAAAATGTAACCATGTTGAGCACAAAGTTTTTGAAAATGTTGAGCGTGAAATTGGAAATTGTAGCAAATTAATTTAAAAGAAAAAAGATAATCATATGTTCAACTCTGGATTCCATAGGTCACTTTTTATTATTCATTCCTTAAGTAAATAGCAAGGTTACAGCTGCTGACACACACACACACACACACACACACACACACACCCTCTTCAAGAACTGTGGGCACTTAACATTTCAGTCTAATCTTTTTATATGGATTTAGCTAATTTTATACTAGAAAATACAGAGACTTAACAGAACAAGTCCCTCTGCTAAAAATCAAGATGCATGCAGAGGCCTCCCCTCCACCAGGAATACAAAACTCATCTTGAAATAGAGATTAGACATTGCCCTCCTACATAACTGTCACTACTACAAACAGCTCAGGCTTTGCGCCAAGGCAGGCAGGCAGGGGTCAGGAAGGGGCTGTGACGCCAGCCAGGATGGAAAATAATAAAATAAAGAAATAAAAAATGAATTGGTCTTGTCTAATAACAAGTCAACTTCTTGGAGTGGGTGCAGATGAGGGCCGATAAGATGATCAGAGGGCTGGAGCACCTCTCCTAAGCAGAAAGGTTGAAGGAACTGGGCTTGTTTAGCTTGGAGAAGAGAAGGCTCCAGGGCCTTGCAGTACTTGAGGGGAGCGTAGAAAGAGGAGGGGAATGGCTGATCATGAGGGTCGCAGTGCTAGGACAAGGGGGAATGGTCTCTTTGGAAATATCCAAGTCATCTTGTCAGGACGGGATCTCTGATAAAGCAGAATTGATTCGCGATTGCAGTGGCGGCGTCCCGCAAGCAGCAGCGCGCCTATGGACACGCCGTGACAGCCTTTAGACCCTGTTTGCTCCTCCTTGCCTCCCCCCTGCCCTGTTTCCCCACTGGCTGGGTACTCCAGGTGCACAACCTTATCAGAAGGTTGACATTTGACTTGTGATTTGTTACCTGGTGTCAGTCAGCAGCCATCCTGTTGTTTCCAAGACGTCTCGGTGCTCTCCTTGTCCTGTCCTTGTCCTGTTGATGTGGCGACTTTCTTTAATGTCTTCGTTGAACAAAGAGCACTGGGGGATGATGCCAGGCCTTCCCATGTCTCTTCAGGCGCTTCCTCGGGCAGGCCATCACTTGTTGTCTGGTTTGCCCTCGTGCAGGATATTCTTGCGGTGTGTCTGACAAAATATACATCTCTACACCTCTATACAGAGTGTGCCTTCCTGGGAAGGTTCGTCTGGAGGATCAGTGACGTAAACTTCTCCAGCTCTGGAGCCCTCCTTTGGACACTCTCTCCTAGCATCTCATGGAATGGCAGCCCAAGCTGCACCCAGCGCTGGAGGCGAGGCCGCACGGCGCAGAGCAGAGCGGGACAGCCGCTGCCCTCGCCTGGCAGTGCTGGGCCTGACGCAGCCCAGGGAACGGTTGAGCCTTCTGACTGCCAGGCGCACTGCCGGCTCAGATTCCATTGGCCATCAAACCAGATCCCTTTTGCCAGGCTGCGCTCCAGAACTTCCCCCTGATGTCTGCACACAGAGCCAGGGCAGCCCATCCCAGGTGCAGAACCCAGCGCTCGCCCTTCTTCGTGCAGATGGGAACACCCTCATTTTGTCCAGATCTCAAGGCAAGGCCTCTTTATCCTCAAGGAGGTCCAAACTCCTCCCAGCTTAGCATCATCCACAAATTGATGGATACAACTAACAGATCTTTATTGGAATCAACAGTAAAAACAAGATAGAGAAACGGCCTTAAAATGGAGCCCTGCAGAATCCCAGTGGTGACACATAGGGCAACTGTCAAGACAAAGCCACCCAGTCCTCCAGGGCAGCCATGTTTTAGATGTCAAGGGACATTCTAAGGCATAGATAGCCAAGGCTTTATGATGCCATGAGCCACCTCCCTGACAAAAGCCCTAAATATGGGAAACCTGGCAACAGAACACCAGCTGTGATGCAAGGCAGCCAGCCAATAAAGGCAGGCAGGGGCCACGATTCCAGCCGACCCAATCGGGGACCATGACTCCAGCCAGCCAGCCAAGGTAGGTAGGTGGGGGCCTTGACTCAAGCCAACGCAATCAGGGACCATGACTCCAGCCAGCCATCCAAGGTAGGTAGGCAGGGGCCTCAACACCAGCCAATGCAAGCAGGAACCATGACTCCAGCTAGCCAGCCATCGTAGGTAGGCGGGGGCCTCGACTCCAGCCAACACAAGCAGGGACCACAACTTCAGCCAGCCAGCCAAAGCAAGCAGGCAGAGACCATGACTCCAGCCAGCCAGCCAGCCAGCCAAGGCAGGCAGGCAGGGACGACAACTCCAGCTGACACAAGCAGGGACCCCAACTCCAGCCAGCCAGCCAAGGCAGGCAGGCAGAGACCACGAGTCCAGCCGACGCAAGCATGAACCACGAGTCCAGCCGACGCAAGCATGAACCACGACTCCAGCCAGCCAGCCAAGGCAGGCAGGCAGGGGTCAGGAAGGGGCTGTGACGCCAGCCAGGATGGAAAATAATAAAGAAATAAAAAATGAATTGGTCTTGTCTAATAACAAGTCAACTTCTCAGAGTGGGTGCAGATGAGGGCCGATAAGATGATCAGAGGGCTGGAGCACCTCTCCTAAGCAGAAAGGTTGAAGGAACTGAGCTTGTGCATCCCCATACCACCACACTGTCGCACCACAGGTGTCCCAGAGGCTGTGTGTGGTCGGTGACAATGCCAGGTCCTCGTGAGTGGATGCACAGACAGGAAACAGAAGGTCTACTTATTTGGACAAAGTTGCATGGAAGCCAAGTTTGAAAAATGACAGGCTTGTAGCCTCTCAGGTACTTTCAGAAAGAAGATTTTGCTTTGCAGTTGCAGTCAGTGGTTAGATCCAGAACTCTTTCATCACAGGAGCCACTCATCTCCTCCAGGATGCGAAATACCCAAGTACAGCCCAAGTTCCCTACATAGAAGCTCAGAAAGTCAATGGGGCCTCGGGTGGGAAGACTCATCTTTTGTATTCAAAGCTTTTAAGGACAGAGCATCCTTGCTGTAACCACACAACATCCAAAACAAAATGACCCTAACTACAAATGCTACTGCAGCACAAGCACAAAAAGCCTTCTACGTCATTTCAGCAGATTTCTGCTAGAAATCCAGATGGAAAGTATGTCCTGATGGTGACAGAAACTAACAAATCTCTTCGCAAGCTTGTCAGAAATGAGGATTTAAACCAAAGGTGAAAGTGATAAAAACAAACAAACAAAAAAAACCCAACAACAATACAGTTCCATCTGATACGCAGAAAGTCAGATTTTATCTTACAGTTCTTCACAAGACTGATACATGCTATCCACTACGTTTTTTCTTTTGTCCATAAGATTTCAGCAAGACAATTGCAACATACTTGCCAGAGAGAAACAACAATGGTGACACAAACACCACAAAGCACAGCAGCTAACCAAACAGAAGGCAATTTAAAGATAAACTGTAGACCATTCATGTCAACATGCAAGAGGAAAACAAGGGCACGTCATGCCAGCAGCAGCACCACAGTGAAACATCTTCAGACAACTGATCCTGCTTTATTGCACACAGCTCAGCATTTTCCATCCTGTTCCAAGCATACTGAAGTGTCACAGATGCATTCTGAATTCAGACAGTAACTGAAAAAGGAAGGAAGGTTAAGAACACCTTTGAAAGGACACATCGGTGTGAAGATTCTTGTGTTTGAACTAGAAATGATGATTGGTATGATGTCAGCCAAGAACACTGTCTTCATCCTCAATGAACAACATTCATAGCCACTGATTTTTTGTTCGTTTTAAACAGGTAAGTTGCTGGTACCACCAGTTATCACTGTAAGGTAAGGGTCTGGAGAGCAGTGAAGATGCAGTAACAAACAAGGTGGTTTCATAATTGCTTTGAAGCATGATACACTTCCAAATTCTCTTATCCACAACATTCCTCCATTCTGTATACAGAGAACCTAATACTGCCACTTCAACATCACAGTCACTTCATAGTCCAGGACAGAAATTTAAACACGTTTTATCCAGTTAAAAGTCAAGTGAGTCCTTAGCCTGCTGGCTCTTCATCCATCCTATTTGAAAGAGACCTTCTTCTTTATTTCCTGCTGAATGAAACACATCCAAACATGACATCACCTGTTAGTCCACATCCAGGAAAGGACTTCTAACACACATTCACCTGAACAAAAGAAGATTTTTGTGGTTATTTAAACGCAATCCTCTATCTGACAAGATGAAAGAGACAGGTCAAACGGCCAAGCTATTAGCAAAGAAATTAAGTCTGTTAATTCCGAGAATCCTAACATATAGCTAAACGCTAACTTGGGAAAGCACAAATAAAAACCATACAAGAGAAATTTTGCTTAACAGAACTAT